CTTTTCAAAGTTAATTAGGCAAAACATGAAATTTTTATCTGTTTGTGATCTTCGCGTTTTTCTTTGAAGAAAAACTCGGAAAAAAAAATGCCGCGATCACGGACTAGAAAGGCATCGTAAACTTCAAGCACGTAATCTCTCGGCTGAGATTGGACTTGGCGTTAATCACGTTTGAGGTTCTCAAAAGAAACTGGAAGGACAGGAGAATTGGAAAAAAAAAATGATTTGTTCCTTGTAAGTTAATTTTTTTGGTAAACTGGGTAAGTCGCAAAGCAACAAGGAACTCGTCAATAATGGCGATGAGAGATCATTCAGGACAGTGCACAATGCTTAGAAAATATTAAGTCAGCGTTGATAAATAAAATTTGCATTTGCCGAAGATTAACCGAACAAGTCGAGAGATTTCTGAAATTAAATTACCAAGGTTCCCCGAAGGCCATCGAAAATGTTAGAAAGCTTCGGAAGATTACTATAAAGAGTTTTGAGGATTACCGAATATCTAGCTAGTTCTTCTTCTTCTTCTTCTTCTTTCTCAATCTATGACATTTTGGGAGCCTGATATATATTCCTTTTATTCAATTGTGAATAAAACCAGTACATAGCTCTCGGGCCCCGTGCACAGTACCCCGGAGGAATTTGATAACGGAGATTTCGGGTATACGTAGGGAAATCACATGATTGTCGCAACGTCATCATTTCCGAAAAGTTCTTCTTTCAAAATGTTTCACGTCCACACTAAAACGTAAGGACGGAGTTTTCAAATTCCTCCAGTTTGAAGAGCGTTTTCGAAAAGCTCCGTTTTCGTGACGGATTATTGTGGACGGTAGACCTAACCCTAGAAATAAGGCTGCGTTTCTGAATTTCTCCGGCGTAGTGTGGAGGGGGGCTGAGCATGTAGCAATCTATTACGTATCAATTCTAATGCAGGCTGCTTGCTTCTCGAAACATGATTCATTTAGCTTTATATGTCAATCATAACGATAACAACCAATCAAAGCAGAGCAAATCCTGCTATGATAATAAAAGGTGTATCTAGAATGAACCGCTAAGAACTTTTTAGTCTTTAGGCGCGAAAGTTCTTAAGCGTTGAAGAAGTGTTGTTGCTGTAACGTGACCAAAACATGCGAGCTGTCCTCTCTTTATCGGTTTTCTGTTTTGCTCTGGTAAGCTCGTCAATA